CTGATGGCCGATTGGACTTGGTTCTAATTTTGTGGACACCACCAGGGATGAGCTGTCTTCCTTTCCTAGGTGGGGTTGCATAAATCACTCTTCCCGGGCTGGGACTCTGGGTGAGACTACGCAGATGTCCAGACACCCAGGGCATAGGCTGCCACCGTTCTCACCAGGCCAACTGTCTTCCCTCCCACAAGCGAGGGAGATAGCATTTGAGGAACCGCACGACCTCTTCTGGTTTCAGTACCAAGCACTTTCTCTCTCCAACCGGCCGCTGGAGAAGTGGGTTTGGACATTGTGGGGAAGTGTCTGTTTGGCAACCCAACTGGGCCGGACAGCTCCAGGGGGTGGATTTTAGGGGCTATCCCCTCGTGAGTATTCAAACCTTTGACGCTTCGTGGTGAGGCTGTTTATATTCCTGTTTCTCAGGAGTACAGTCGAGTCCAGAAGTGTGGCCCTTGGGGCTTTCAGAGGAGTCTGTGCCTGTGCCTGTGACACTAGGCAGAGCTTTGCAGTTTGTGACTTTCATATTTGAGCCTCACAAATGTTGTGAGATAAGTCAGGAAGGTGTTACGGCCAAGAATTGACATATAAGGGAATTAAGGAGCAGACAAATGGGTGACTCATTCAAGGTCACACAGCAAGTGACAGAGCTCAAGTATCCTGGAGCCAGGCCATGCACCCAGGCAGCCACCCCACAGCCTGCTCTCAGAAACGAGACCAGCGAGAAGAGGAAGGGCATGAGGAAGAGGAGGGGGAGTGAGAGGAGGGGGAGTGAGAGGAGGGGAGGAAGAATGGGCAGCATCGGAGAGGAGAGATGGCAAAACCCTTCATTCTAGTTGTGGGGCCTGGGATGGACCTAGAACCTTCTCCCTTAATCCTTTCCCCCCTCACTCCCATTTTTCCTCTTGGACCCAATAAAATGGGCCTGAGGCTGTGCGGTAGGGAAGGGCTGCCGGGTAACGTCTCTCCGGAGGCGCGAGCTTGGCCCCGGGGGGTGGCCCGGCCTTTCAAAGCCCACTTGTACACTGAGACGCCGCGCAGGGGCGGCCGGAGGGCCCGGGCCAGGAGGAGGGGCCGGGCCTGCCTTTGGTGCCTAGAAATCAAAGCAGCCAACCTGGGGCTCTTTCTTCCCCTCACACTGAGGCACTGTTATTGGCGAGATGAAGGGAGGCAGAGCGGGCCTACAGTCCTCGCTTTGCTTTTGGAGGTTAATGACCCAGTTAGCAGCTCTTGGCTGCGTTTCCGACATTTTGCAGACATCAAGCCCCGCGTCTCTGCCAAGTACATTCTGTTCCCTGGAGCTCATCCAATGCATCTCAGATTACTATGTAATGCGACAAAGAGGGAGAGGAGGTTGGGAGGGGCGGCGGGGAGGGAGGAGGAGCGGGCGCGAGCGGGGAGGGCGGGACGCCGGAGCCGCGGGGCGGGGTAAAGGGGAGGCCGCCTCAAACAGAGCCGCCCTCCTGGACGCGCAGCCCCAAGGTGCTTCTTCACTGCACTACAGCGACCCCGAAGGGAGGGTGCGGAGGGCCCTGGCGTCCAGGCAATAAGAGAAGGCATCCTGCGGCTGAAGCCAAGTCCCCGACCCGGGGCGGGGGTGGGGTGGGGTGGGGTGGGGTGGGCCGCCCGAGACTGGGGACGGGGAGGGCGGAGAGCGGAATGCAGGGGGCGGGGTCGGGGATTAGGCCCGCCCCAAGGCCCCTCCCCCTGCGACGCCAGCTGCTGCCGCAGCCCGTGCGCTAATTATAGACGTGAATGGAAAGCGGCAGCTTTTGAATGATCGTGTTGCTCGCGCTGCCTTTGGAGGCTGAGGAGCAGGTGCTGCCCTGCTCGATACAAAGTGATTCATTTAAAAGCTCTCCGGCACGCACGCACCCTCACCGACCCGCACGGATCCTCTGGCTCTCCCTTACCCCCGCCCTGGAGGTGGTTCCGGAATCAGTTTAGGAGGCCTGGGCCCTGGGACAGAGACTGTGGGGCCTTTCCTGTCTCGCATTCAGCCTTGGAAAATTCCCCGTGAGTGGGAAGAGCCTTGGGCCTTCTCAAGCTGTGGGAAAGCAGCATCTTGCTTTACAGACGGAGAAACTGAGGCTGGGAGAGACTCTGGGATGTACCGCGGGGCACGTGATGTGATGAGTCAGTGCGGAGTTGGGAGAGCCCGTCTTCTCATGGCCTCTCCCTTTCCCTTTCTAAGTTGGAACCTGAGCGGGGTTCACTTCAGTGACATTCATTTCCATGCATGGATCCTTGGCACCTGTATTTCTACTCCTCCCAATCCTGCCCCCATCTCCAACCCACTCCCACACAGAACATTTGCTAGTGCCCGCTGATTCTCAATGGTAGGTTTAATAGTTCCAGGCCTGGACCCTGGGTAACGTGAAAACCATGCTCATTTTCCTGTCACTTATGTGTGAGTCAGCCCCATGTGCCCTCCCGTCAGCATAACGGCGTTGTGAGGAACTCCGGAGGAGGCGAAACCTGGATTTGTCTTCCTCAGCATCCCACATGCGCCTTGGGCTCACAGTGAGCGGAGTGCTCACATGAGTAGCGTGACCTAATCCAAGCCACACAAGCCCAGTAGAACGTCGTGTGTCCATCTCCCAGAGTCCCTGCAGAAACGGAGTGTCAACAAGGGGAAGTGACTTGCTCACCATCATCTGCGGATAAGTGGCCAGCTTGGAAGCCAAACCCAGAACTCCCACCACTGTCCTGCGTTTGGCCAGTACTCATGCTGTGGTCTGCAAGAGGGAGCAAGGATCCACCTAGGTATAGAGAAGTGAACTGCGTATGTCCAGCTGGCCGCTGGCCTCCCCTCCCCATGACCTTGGGTCGCTGCTTCCATGTTTTCACCTCCATCCTAGTCCCTCTCATGAAACTAAGCACGAACAGCTGCTGCCTTCTCTAGGGCCAGACGTCTCCAAGCCCACTCACTGCTTCTGACTCCAAAAAACAAGGCCAGTCTCCTCATCTCTGGGACTTATCCTAGCCCCTCACCTTTGCTGACCACTCTGAACTTACCTCTTTGCCTATGTCTGCCCTGTGCCCTCAAGATCTCCACCAGATGGATGGATAATGAAGTAGCAACAAGTACCGTGCTGAAAAAAAGAAGAGACAGGGAATGGATGGGAAGGATATTTTCATTTTCATTTGCCTCTTAGAAGCAAGGTACTGTATCTTAGTCTTTGTAAATCCCCACCCTGCCCAACACACAGAGTCCAGCCCAATGCACTGAGCTTAGCAGACCCACAGAAATGTTAGTCATAAAACGTTCACATGGCCGAGGAAGTTTGTATTTCCTTGGACCTAGGAAGGCCCTTGTCACATATCTTTGGTAACATAGATGAGTGTTTCAAGAACATGAGCTTTGCATATACAAGACAGGGCTCTGCCTTGATCAGGTGTACAATACTGAGAAGTTGTTTGGTCTCTCTAGTTCTCAGTATTTTCATCTATTAAATGGGCATGACTGCACTTCATAGAGGTTGTGCAGAGCAGTACTTGCTGTGCTGAGCTGGGAAAGGAAGGGACTGCTCCTATGAGAGTGCATGTCTCTACAGTCACTGCCTAGTTTGGAATCCACATTCAGCTATGGAATCTGGGTAAGTGTTTTAACCACCACATGCCTCAACTTCTTCATGTATAAGATGAGGATAATAAAAGTACCTATCTTATAGTGTTGTGTAAATTAAATGAGTTGATGGATAAGGTCTGGAAATAGCGCCTGGCACACAGTAAGTGCTCAGTACAGATGGCTGTCTTTTCTATTGGAATTAGATGAGGGTTGAATGATGTAATACATGGAAAGCCCCTAGCAGAATGCCTAGCTGACACTCTTGTCAGCACCCAGTAATAATAATGACTATTATTATTTGCTTATCTGTAAGAGGGGATTAGGAAAGTTCCCCCCACACGGGGTAGTTCTGAGGATTAACTTAGGTAACATACAGGAACATTCTTTGTAAAACTATATAGGGCTGTTCACATGCTTTATTATTAACTTCACTATTGGGGCGCCAATTCAGTAAATCTTGTGTGTTCACTGTGCTTCCTCTTTGAGATTCAGAGATAAATACTATTCATGCCTTCAAGGTGGGGGTGTGCAGATAAGGCCTAGGATAGGTGTAACTATATAATACCAGGCAGAGGGTGATAAGTGCTCTGATTAGCACAATAAACCAAATGCCATGAGGCATCAGGGAAGGACAAGCAGTTACCCAAGGCAGAAAGAGGAGTTCAGGAATGGCTGCAGCCAGGATACAGAGGCATAAACACAACCTGGATGAATGAGCAGGATGTGGACAAGAGGTGAGAAAAATACATTCCTGGTAAGGGATCAGAAAGAGCAAAGACCTCAAAGCAGGGATAGAAAGGAGATATTTGGAGAATCACAAGCTGGCCAGCTTTCAGAGAACATGGCCTGGCGGAGAAGGGCTGGGGAGGTAAGCCGGAGGCCAGGCAGCAGAGTTCCAGGGAGCCCAGGAGGGCCCTGTGAGCCTCAGTGATGACACGGAGGGAAGGTGTGCTGGGGACAGTCTCAGGATGATGATTCCTGGCCAGACTGCAGAATCCCAGGTAGCAGAAGTGCAAACACAACAGAGGAATGTTTTTCCAGGGTCAGAACTAAAACAGCAGGAACTGGGGTGGATTCCTACTCCTTCATAGCACCTCTCAGATTTCATAATGTATATTTACTTTTGTGTTTCTTTCTTTACCTTGAGATGACAGTATGAGGCTTTACTTTCTTATTTATCCCATGTCGGCCACAGAGACTGACACATAGTAGGACCTCCATAAAGACTTGCTGAGCAAATGAATGTTCCCTTGATTCTGAGGCCAAATGGTCCACCTAAGTGGTCCAAAGGCCATCAAAGGATTCTCTAAAGTTTTTCCTACCATTCGCTTCAGCAAACAGGTGTCCCCAGGATGACAGAGAAGACTTAAAATTTCACTGAACAGGCGAGCAGGACTTGTTTCATGATCTTTCAGATTTGTCTATTTTTAGAAAATAAAATCAGAAAGAACTAGGAGGACAGGGAAAAGAAGAAACCTGGTGCAGAAATAAAATTCTTCCTATAAGTCTCCATCTCTTACTTAGTTACCTTAATTAGCCATCTTCTAGTTTCAGTCCTCTCTTTATAAAAAAAATTAAAAAGAAGAGAAGGAAGGGACCAAAGAAAGAGGGAAGAAAAGAAGTTACCCAAGAAAGTTATGAGTGTGAACAACTGGTTTTGATCTGGTTTTGTTGTCTTCTAAAACCCTCTGTGACCTGGATCCCTTCCCAGCTCAAGTTGGGAAGCAGAAAAGAAATCCAACTGGTTTCAGTTGTTCAGGATTTGGGACAAGCATCTGGCTGATGGACGCTTTGCCTGCTCTCTGATCTTAGTCTTCTTTAAAACATCAATGCCTTTGCCTTTCTCGCTCTCTCTCGGGATGGCAGTTTGGTGCTGTGTTTCTTGATCAGAGGCACAGAAGGCCAAAGGTGGAACAAACAGAACCTAGAGGTTATCCGGTTCAACTCGTTTCTGTTATAAATGAGAAAACCAAAGAAAAAAAGAGAGGAAATGAATTGTCCAAAGTCGCCCAAGCTCATTTGTGATGGAGAACAGGACCCAAAGCTTCAAATTGCAAGGTAGGTGCTCTTTCCATACTCCATGATACCCCCTTTAATGAAGTAATGTTCATATGATAACATATAACATTCATTTTTTTCCCTGAAAAAAAAAAGGGGGGAGCTTTGAGAGAAGCAGACCTGGGCTTGAATCTCAGTTCTACCACACTCTAGCTGGGTAACCTTAGGCAAGAAGCTGGATCTTCTCCAGTAACAATAGCCTCATTGCTGGGCATCTATCTTTGCCAAATTCAGACAAGTTAAGAAACTGGTCCAAGGCAGTGTCAGTTTGAACCCAGGTCTGTCTTATTCTAAATCCCATTAATTTCTAACATGGTCTACACTGCCTCTCTGTGCTTCAGACTTCTCGTCTAATAAAATATGAGATTGTTTTTAGGAATAAATAAGATCAAAAGTACCTAGCATAGCACTCGATGTTCAGGAGGTGCTCTGTAAACAGAGGCTATTATGGTTGTGAACAACACATCCTTAGGTCTAACCATTTTGATTATATTGTTCAAGAATATTAGCTACTATCAATCAGCATCACTATACTCATCAGCCTCCACCCTCCCAGTCTCAGCTTTCCCCTGACGTGTTCTCTCAAGGGGCTGGGTTCCCATCCTGGAAGATCTAAGCAGAACAGGAAAGGCAGGCTGGGAACAGAATCCACCTACTGGTGCTGGAATGCTGAGCAAACAGGTCAGGTCTGGCAACAATGGCTACCTCCATTCATAGACCAGGCAACCAGGTATCCAGGTATAGAGGCTAGTGAGTTGTCCTAACCAGGGGCCAGAGTACAGGGATTTGAGGTGGGCAAAGCCAAGGGCAGATAGATCACAGCTTCAGAAAGGTCAAATCATGGGAACAAAGGTCCAAGTCACCATTTCTGGTAAAAGCAAGACAAGATGTTAGCTAGGAGGAAATGAGGCTGGGTGGGAAGATTGCAGAAAAAGAGCATAAAAACCAGGATTAAAGCAAAATCCAGTTGGAAGGAATAGAGATTTAAACGGACCCAGGGCTTCTGAACATGACAGATGAGTCTTTTTCCCTCTGATTATAAAAACTAATAAATAACCATGAAATCGTCTTGGCCATAAATTGTGGATACATTCATTTGGAGCCAAAGTACCAAAACATTCATGGGAATGATAACCACCAAATTCAAACAGTGTTTTGCTTGGTAGAGAACAGGAGGAAAAGGAGGAGGGAGGACGAGGAAACGGGAGGTGGGGGCTTTAACTATGTGTGTTACATTTAATTTCTTTTAAGAAAAAAGAGATCTGAAGCAAATATGGCAAAATGTTAGCATCTGTTCATTTTCTGATGGTGAGTACATGACATCTGTTAGAGCTTTTCTGTATGATTACATGTTTAATAATTTAAAATAAAAATATAAAGCAATAAGTGTATTTAAAATCTAATAAATTACGTTTATATTAATATGTAATCATGGTAGAAAATCTAGAGATTTTATGAATAATAACATAGGAAGATAATGAGTTTTAAAAGTTATGGTGTTGGCTAGCTGATGTGATATTTCTCAGGTAAAATAGTAGATCTTAAGCCAATGAGATTCAGATAGGAAGTTCATGTCGTGGTAGGTTTGCGTACTGACAGATAATACACGTGTGTTAGGAGGTAGATTTCAGGATTCTTCAAATCACAGTGTCTGGCCAAACATTCCAGAAACATCCAGTTTTCGATCCCTCACCTGGCTGGCCAGAAAGTCCCATTTTAAGAACCAGGCTCTTATACTCTCATATGGAAAGAAAATTTTAAAAGGCTTCTGAACCATCAATGATAATGTTACAAACTTCACAAACTAAAATTCATGGGTGGAAACCAACAAGGCTGTGGAAGACCAAAACAATATCATTAACCACTGGCTCTGATTGACATTTATAGAACACTCTGCCCACCAAGAGCAGAATGCAGATCCTTTTCAAGTGCACATGGCACATTCACCAAGATAGACTACATCCTGGGTGATAAACCTTCTGGGTGTCTCCCATGAAGCAGAGACCTTCAGACCCTCGCTCAGAAACAAGCCTCATTTTACATAAAATTGATGGGCCATCTGGAGTCTCTGACCACAGCATGAACAGAGGAGAAAGCAGAATTGCCTCGCGTTGGGCAACACTCATCAGTAATAACTGGCTGCCAGGCCATTTGGGAGGAGACAAAAGAGCTATAAAATACAGACACAAGAGCCCAGAGCATAGCAGTCCAGGTCCATCCAGTTCAGGGGCAAAGCATAACCAGCCCAGGACCGCCTGAGGCCCTCCTGCCACAGCACACCCAGTGGTGTAGCAGAAAGAGCATGGGAGTCAGCTGAAGAGGGTCTGGGCCTGGCTGCACCACTAACCCACAAGAGGCTGTGGGCCAGACCCTTTCACTTCTCCTTTCTGGGAACTAGCTTCCTCTTGGGCAAAATGGAGTCACTAGGATCTAGTGACTAGGTTTCCATGATGATGTCCGCGTCTACCTCTCTGGGACTATTTTTGTGTTCATTCGAATTCCCCCTGGGTCTTCAAGAAAAGGATGGGTAATGCATGGTGATTTTTGTGCTCAGCGACAGAGGACAGTGTGAGGCATCGGGAGGGCGCGTTTACTTACACGCACTGGCTCATTCCCTCGACAACCGTTGGGGTGCTCAGAAGTCTCCCCAAGGGTTCCCCAAGGACGTATTTACAAACAGCTTCCAAAAAGCAGCAAAATGGCAAAAACAAGCCTTGCAAGAGAAACTCTGTACACCAGACAACTTAATTCCCAACAATGGACCACATGAGGGTGTATAAATAACTAATTACGCTGGACAACATGAACAGCTTTTTTGGATGATTGCAAAATTGGGGAGGAAGGAAATGTGATGGGTATTTATATATTTGGGCTCCAGTCAAAGATTTCATATTCACTCTTAAGCAATTTGACTTGCAAAATTAGCTCAGACTAGAACATGGTCAAACAACTTGAAACTGGCAGCCAGTCTGCTCTCCAAGGGGCTGTTTGTGCCTGTGCCTCCAGGAGACTGGAGCAGAGGACCAGGGATGTGCCCCTGCGGCCTCTGCAAGACGTTCCGGGTCCCTTGTCTCCACAAAGACCTAGAGGAGTGGAGACTGTTGCAGGGTGCGGGGCATTTTTAATAAGCAGTTTCAGTGGGAAGCCAAGCTCTTGTTATCACACAAGCACGTATTCCTGGATGCTCAGTTCCATATTCTTCCTGAATCCCTACTGTGTGATCAGTACTCCGCCAAGTCCTGTAGATACGGAGACTGAATCTCTGTGAGAGGCACTGGGATACCTCACTCACCGTGGTATATCTGGTGCCTACTTCTGCCTCTGGTACCTAAATACCAGGTGTGCTGAAAACTTGTTGGACCAATGAATTGTTGAATGAAATGAGTAGAACACAGTCCTTATCCAAGCAGAATCCTCGGTCTGGTGGATGACATAAAACTGGGCAGTTTTGTCTAACACAGAGCAGGTGGCAATACACGTGATCACCCAGGTGCCAGAGGCTCTGAGCACAGAAGAGACGGAGCAATCAATTCCGACCTTAGGGATTGGCAAGAATCTTCCCTTCCTGCTGCAAGATCCTCACACACCCATTTCCCCAGTGATACTCTCTGCTAAATCCTATTTATCACCATAACATCACTTCCAGATTAGAGCCGGACCTTGAAAAAAGAGTCAGACAAAGAGAGATTTAGAAGAAGAGAATGCCTGGAGGATGGAACAGCATGATCAGAAGAAAGGAAGGAAGGAAGGGGAAAAGTGCAGACAGAAGTGACTGAAATGGTCCGGAGGAGCAGACCAGGGTTCCCCACAAATGACACACCAAGGAAAGGCCACTGATGGTTCTTGAGGGAAAAAAATAAAATTATCAGAGCTGGAACTTAAAAAAGTGGCTCACGAACCTTTCTGAAGGATTGATTGGTGGAAAGAGAAACTTGAAAGAGATCGTTAGGAGGCAGCTAAAGTGTCTGGGAAGAAAGTGATGGGGGTCTGAGCAGGGCAGCTCTGGGTAGGAATGAAAAGATCAAAGACAGGGCTGCAGAATGAGTGAAAGGAATTAGACGTGAGGAGACAGGGGAAGGAGCATCCAGCAAGAACCCTCAAGTTTCTACCTGGGAGTCTGGCTGAAGGGAATGGAGCTGTGAGCTGAGATGGTAAACACAGCAAAAGGGGGAGGAGTTTGGGAATGAAGTAAGAGAGTTTGATATCGACATCTGGTGTTTGAGGTGCTGAAGCGCCATCGGTGGGAACTGAGCAGCAGAAATGAGATCCGGACTAAGATGTGGATTTAGGCAACAGCTGCCCAGAGCGGGTACTGGAGTTGGTGAGTCTTACATGAGAATGCCTGGGACATGCCCTTCCATTTTCCCTGCACCACCGCTCAGCCTGAGCCTCAGACAACCACCCCAGTCTTCCAGGATGCTAGAACCCTCTTTCTGCCTCCTTTGCTGGAAATAGAGCAACAGAGGACACCTGCTTGTCACTCAGTTATTGGCACAATTATAGGCATGGCTCTCACATCCTGGAAAATTGCCTTTGTAAATTTGAAGAGCTTTTTGACAGTCTCTCCTCCTGCTCTGCCCTTTCAACCTGTGTATGTAGCCTGGGGTCACCCAGACTTAATTCTCTCCCACCCCACACTCCAAGTATCCAGAGCACAGTCCCCCCTGACCATGCTGAGCCGTGGGTCCTGATCAAGGAAATGAGGAACCTGGGAGAGGAAAAAAAATAAACAAGAACCCTACACAGAGCTAGAAAAAATTCTCCCCACAGTAGAAATTTGAACTTGACTGACAGAAAGATTATACCCCTAGGTGTTTTCAAACTTAAACAAGGAGGAAACCCAGCCAAGTGTCAGACTGGTGTGGAAGGATTTGCCAAGGTGAGGGGGACCCCACGGTTAGTTCGTCATGACAGTGGACAGAGAGAACATTGCTTCTCACCAGTCGTCCAGGGTCAGGCACCGGGAGGGTGAGGCCAGACAGATGCAGACACGCTCAGCT